CGCAGTGTGTGAGCTCAGCTCCATGGGTTTGCTAAGCCCAAATGGCTGCGCGGTTCAACCATCAGATGCGATGAGTATGAGCAGAGAGAAGCCTGAGAGACGCCACGGCCAGGTTTTACGTGATCCGCGAAAGCGATACGCCATCTGTGGACCTAAAATCTGCACATTGGAACTACGTAGCCATGTGCACAATTTTTGGTTTCGTTCCGTGCTATGTCCACGAAGGATCGATAATACAGAGTAATGTGCACATTGATGTATAATATACATGTATAATAGTAGTTTCTGAAAATCTCTTAGAGTTTCTGAAAATCTTTGTTTTCCTGTTCAAGTTTGAAAGTAATAAATAATTGACATTAAAATAAATTTTTTTTTCATCCTTTTTACAAGTAGATATACATACATACATACATAAAGGGAGGGGGAAAAAAAAAAAAAAAAAAAAAAAGGGGAAGGGAGAGAGAGAGAGAGAGAGAGAGAGAGAGAGAAGAAAGAAGAAAGAAAGAAAAAAAGAAAAAATAAAGAAAAAAAGAAAAAGAAAAAAAAAGAGAGAGAGGACTATTTTATAGCTATTTTATTTATTTCTTTACGCATAAAATTTTATATAACTTTTATTAACTTTTTTTTTTTGCTAATCTTTAAATGCAATTTTGAAATGTAAAAATCTGAGAATCTATCTACAATATAGGATAATAGGTAAATCGATGATAATAATTGTTTCTAAATATAAAAAACATACCATGAATACAATGGGAATTTTGCGTTGACTGCACATGTATTTTTACATAGCCTTCTCTGAACGTGTTCACCGAATCATTCGACATTCTTTTTTTACAAGAAGATATTTCACCAAAAATAAAATAGATTCTTATAAATAACTGTTTTATTGTGATATAATTATCTGCAGGCGTTCCCGATTTGCCATCAACACTTTCGGTTTAAAACTTGCTCTTTCGAGCCTATATGATTTGAAACTGGATATTGGAGTGTAAACCAACATGCTTTAAAATGAATCGATGATGTGAAAGGTGAGGACGGTGGTGGGGATACTTCGGAATTTAAAACAGTGCCTTTCAAATATTCGCGTTATTCGTAATATAAAACTTGAAGAGTGTGTATGCAATTCTATGCATATATTTATATATTTAGCGCATTTAAGAGAGTTTTTAGATTATTAAGTTCTTTTTTTCGAATTTAACAGTTTTTAAACTTTTCAATATTTCAGTTTTCTTTAGTAAAAATTAAGATTTATAAAAATTATTATTTATACTATTTTAACCATTATGCAAATTGGTTTGATTTTAAAACGTGATTTCAATAGATTTTCGGAAGAATTTATGAAGTCCGCTGTACTTTACTCGACGATAATTGCTGGCATAATTATATAAAAGACATTTCGTTATATCTAGAGATGCCAAATACATTAAATATAGAAAAAACTACTTACACGATTTGGAAATATCCAAAACAGCCGTTTGCATGTCGATGCAGCAGATGTCAGATTTGTCTGTCGCATTTTCTGTTGGAATATTCAATATCACTTCTGCCTAAAGACAAAACATTGTTATTATTATTATTATTATATGTAAGTTATGCTAGAGATTAATTTTATTTACTAAATTTACTTTGCACGATTATAAGTACAGATCTGTCTACGATGTAGTCTACGATTTAATAATTCCTAAGCTACAATTTTTTAAGAGAGCCTCTTTTATGTAATACAATAATTTGCAATAACGTGCCTAAGTTTAAGCTTATTTAGTTTGTGCGTAAATTTGCCATGTAATAAATAAGCAATTATAAATCTTTTAAATAGTAATTTTGATTATCTTGTACTAATATCTCTACGCTAATACGCTTGAAATCTGTTAAATTATTTCGTGATTATTAGAATTTATATACATACGATAGCATCGCATAAGATTGTGCTATCTTTCTTATGTAATGTTGATATATCTGTTTTATAAAATTATCGGCTCATTTTTGTGATTATACATATTTCGGCAATGTAGGTATGTCAGCACGGTTATTTGCGTGTACTGTCGCTTAACGATATAGAAAGTTGAAAATCAGGATCCGCGGGTCTTTCTTTATTGCACGCTACTTTATTTCCTCATAAAGAGTACAAGTTACGCATATATGACTTTAATATTTTCATATCATACTCGATTTTTTCGATGATTGATCGTATACAGATAATTTATTATTTAACCTTTAAAAATCAGGCACATTTTTTAATAATTCTTATACTTTTTAAGTTAAAATTTGTATAGATATCAAAATGATATTCTGCGATATTTTGTCTGCCGTTAATTGTAATGTCATGTGATATAGTATTATTACATTTTTCAAATTTTTGATGACTTAATTATTTATATTATTTATTTCATATCATCATATCTATTTCAATAAATAAACACACACACACATACATATATATATATATAAAATAAAATTTAATTTAATTTAGTATGTTATAAAATATATAGTTGGTAAAATACACAAATCCTTTAAAAAATAGTACCTAAACTGTCTTTTATTTTCATCATAACGAATGATTATCCAGGTTATTGCTTACTATAACGGTCATAAGTTTGGTAATATTTTGTTCGTCGGCTTGGATTAAAACAAACGACACAAATTAATACGACAAATCTATTCGTGTAATATTAAAGTTACGATTATTAATAGAATCACAATTTTACAGAATTACAATCGTATAAACACTTACCATGTTTGTAGATTCTGATTGATGTCTTCTCGATTCAATTATCTTCACGAACACTGATTGTTGAGATAGATGCAGCTTTTCTCGTGTTGCATACAGATATGATATAAAGTTATGCAATGCTCTCTTTGTGAATGATGCAAATGGTAGTCTAGTGTTTAAGAAAATAACAGCGTAATGATCCAAAGATCAATGTCATAAATTTATGTTTTAAAACTTTTTAGAATATATTGTTACGTAAAAATCGAAATAAATTATGGATTTGCTGCCATCATATTTAACAAATGTGAAAATATATATTCTTTCACTTGTTATATATATATATATATTTAAGTTTTGTTTTAGAAATTGAGAGATTAACGAGAAAGTATTTTTTAACGGTAAACTTACGAGTAAAATATACCAGCGCACGTTTACAAATGCTTCGTAGAGTTTCAACTTGTGGCGTATTGTATGCTTTATGAATAATTAATGCTGACCTCGGATGATCTTGTGCATGTGAGTCGCATTTTCAGAGCAAATATTTCTATTAATACGAATAAATTGAGTAGTTTTACGAAAGATGAGAAGTTAACTCAAGGATGAAAAATTATTGAATAATCGATTATATGCGTATGTATATTTTCCAAAGAGATCTTTACAAGAAATAAGACACATTTAAAACTTTCATTAGTCATAGTTTTGCAAATCATCTTCTGTCAACAACGTTAGACGTCGTTAAAAGCGCAACAAACATAAAACACTAGAGAATTATTTAATATACCTAATGTTCGTTCATCGAATCATTTATCGACAATCAAAAATGAATATATGAAATGACATTTGAAACATATAAAATTGCATGAATTTTGGGCAAATGGACACACATATCAGAAAAACACAATGGTAACAATGACATGTGTGTGATTCGTGTATAATTCTAGATCTAACAATATAATATAAATTCTATTATTGTGATGTCACGATTAACGACGGATATTTTCGAATGTCTTTTTGTTTTTAAGATGTTTCTAGAGTGCAATGATAATTTTCTTGTAAGTCTAATTACATTTTATATTACTTTTAAAAGTCATAATTTTATTATTGGAAGAAAATGAAAAACACATGAATAAACACATTATTTGTACGAAAAGTATATTATCTGGCCATGGACATCTCGTCGCGTCCAAATGTTGTGTAGAGTTTAAATCATTTCAAAATAATTTTGGTTAGTTTTTCACTTTCATGTGAGAGACTGTTTCAGTTCTTATTTAACACTGCCTGTTTAATTTTGCTAATCTATAGTTCTTTCTTAATTAAATCTTTCAATATTTGAACATAAGAAATAATCATATATTATTAAAGATATAATTTCTTTTACTAAAATAATGTTTTTTTTTATATATATAATAAAGTTAAAGTCTAGAAATGATATCAAAATAACGATTATTAATTGATAACGAAATAAATATTAGCAAAAATATTAGACATGCATATGTGCCCACTAGCGGATCCTGATGTCGATAATAGGGGGGGTTT